GGCTATATGGCATGTGGCACCGTCTTGTTGAAACCACATGTTGTTACATCCATACCCTGCAATTCAGGCACAAAGAAAAGGATTATCATGACCCTATAGTGAGCATCATTGACTTTAATGCATGACCAGCTGCACCTTGAAGCATCACGGTCCGATAATGCCTCTTGCCCAAAATTCGCACCAAACAGTGGACATGTTGTGGATGCATTTGTTTCTCAATAATCACTCGTTGATTAGCGAAGCCAACAAGATGAAAATGATTTTGTTCAAAAAATTTGCATCCACTTGTTCCATAATCCATTCAACGTGGTCAGTGGGCTTCAGTTCGTGAGTCCATTGAACTTTGTAATTATGAAGATATAAATCTTTGGTGAGAATACGCTGTAGGCAGCTTCTCGGTATGTTCAATTCTTGACCACGGTACCAAATTTATGCTCCTGAACTCTTATCAACATTTTCACGAATTGCTTCCATGTTTTGTGTAGAATGACTTGTTGAAAGACGACCAGAGTGTTTAAGATCACTAATTAATTGATCCAATCTCTCTAAATTTTTCCATTAATCTCTTCACAGTTGATGAAGTTAAATCACTATTCCGACCATATTTTGTACGAAAATTGTAAATTGTAGCTGCAAAAAGTTCATTATTTTTAAAATATTGCTCAACAGTGAAAACACGTTGTTCTTTCCTGTAGCGCTCCATTTTTAATAACTTTGAACTGTCAGCTGTCACGCTCTCTTTTTTTTTTCATTAGCAACACTTTACCGCACAAAAGGTGCAAAATCCAAATCTTGCCTGAATTTTGGGACATCTATTATACAGTGTATTCCCGGATTGGGTACCTCACTTTTGTAAACTTTTTTATTCTTGATTTTGGGTGGCGTCTTAAAATATATATATTTTTTTGGTGATTACATCAATTTTTATGTATGTTATTATCATTCAAGTTAATGAAAAAGTAATCTGCAAAAAGTAAAAAAGTAAATGAAAATTTTATTTTCCAGACTTTTAAACCAAAAATACTCATATGTCCATTTATCCGTCCATTCTTTTATTCGATCGGAGGTCTATACTGCTTCCATAGTGACCAGTTATAAAAAATGAAGTCGGTAATACGAAATAATGAAGTGGAATGAAAACACTATTATGATTTTGAAACAACTATCTGCGAATTTGGTTTCAAAATGAATGAATAATGAATCACATTCGCCATGACTTAAAGCTAGGTATCCTTTAAAGGTTACCGACACTATGACATTTAGTTTGTTTGTGACTTTGAAAACCAGAAACAATAGTTCTATATAATAAAGATTCTCAAAGCGTAACAACCTATTGACGAGGTTAATAACTATTCGAACCTGTCAATGGTGTTACTTAATTTAGAAGTAGCATTAACTTGACTCGTTTAATTTGTTAGTATGTAAATGCCTGTAATTTATTATACCTATATTCATATAAAGAGTGTCCCAAAATTCAGTTCCCAAGGAAGTAATTTTGATAGAAAACACAGGTTTTTAATTAAAAATTGTAAATTTTTATTGATAATCGAGTAAATGGCCTCCACGGCTTTGCTGACACATACGCACTCATTTGTCGAAATTTTCCATGGCTGTTTTGCATAAATGCGGCTGAATTTCTTTGATACAGTGCTTAATTTCCTCCTTCAAGACGTGGGTAGACTGCAAAAAAACCCAAAGGAAGAAGTCCAACGGCGTTAATTCGCATAATCTGGGAGGCCAATTCTGAGCACCAAAACAGTAAACTACACGTCCAAGAAATTAATCATGCAGTTATTGAATTGTTTCGCGGGCTGTATGGCATGTGGCACCGTCTCATTGAAACCATATGTTATCTACATCCATTTCTTGTAATATAGGCACAAAAACCTGGATATGTCGCGATATCAATCTCCATTAACTGTTATTGCCTGCATTTTCGAAGAAGTATGGTCCGATGATGCATCCAGTTCAAAATCCGCGCCAAACAGTGACACGTTGTGGATGCATTTGTTCTCAACAATGAAACGTGGATTTTCTGAACGCCAAATGTAACAATTTTGTCGATTAACGAAGCCATCAAAATGAAAATGAACCTCATGGCTGAAGATGATTTTATTCAAAAAGTCAACATCCACTTGTTGTTCCAACCAATAAAAACTCTTCGCTCTGCATGGTGGTCAGTAAGATTCACTTATTGAGTCATTTAAACTTTGAAGGTGCAAATCCTTCTTGGGAATGCGCTGTAAAGAGCTTTTCGAAATGTCCATTCCTTGACCACCGTGTCGAATTGATGTTCCTGGACTCAACAATCACATACTGCTTCGATGTTTTGTATGGATCGACTTGCTGAAAGACAGCCAGAGTGTTTAAGATCACTAACTGATCCAGTCTCCCTGAATTTTTAATTAATCTCTCACAGTAAACGAAGTTAAATCATTATTATTATTAGAAGTTAAATCACTATTATCATTAAATAATACATATTAATGCCAATACCTGCGTATACCTTATAACATATCATTTGTAGAAATTTGAGCTAAATTATTTTAAAAATCTGTGTATATATATAACAATCTGATTGACTAATTTTAAAATCTATGTGAAAAGTAGTTTAAAATGGGCAACTTATATGACATATTACCAAATAAATTTGCAGTTGATGTGATAGCAATCGCAGATGGAAATCTTCGAATTGTATGCATATGCATGCCTTTTTTATCTTATTTATGACACGTCTATCTTTCTACTTGAAGCGAACAGGCAGGTACATGACTCGTAAACGAACATGTTTATTGAATTAATTCATGATACTCATTAACATGTGAGAAAGTTTTACATGTGCCATTAATTGCTGTATAGTTTCATTACTTTTCGCTGATAATTCAATTTCTCTTCAGTTTATACCGTTAATATATTACTGATTTTTATAAAAATGGATAGCAGTAAAAATGTTTAAAATTGCATTAATGTAAATTGGTTTCGTAGAAATCTATCTCTTATTATTATTAACGATTACGTTGTATTTAAAATTGATTTTGTCACAAAAAATCTTGTAAATGTTTCTTACGAATCGAACAGTTTTAGAGTTATTTTATTTATATTCAGTGTGTAATTTTGAAAAAATAACAACTCGAAAGTGATCTGTTTTGTTTTTCTTTGAAATACAATTGGAAATCAAATGAACTTATCGTGTTTACTAAATATTCAATAGCATCGAAATTTTTACGTTTTTAATGATGTTTTACTCAGTTATTCGCCACTGCTTGCGCAAAATTGTTAATATTACAGTATTTTATGGAAACTTGACTCAATATAACACACCAAATTTACTTCAAACACCTCTAGAAGATATTTGAAATATTGTATGTACCATTAACAGCCAGTACATATTTCAAAAACGATTGAGATTTCGAAATGAATATATGACAAAGTACCATTATTTTATGTTATTCTATCCACTCCCGAAGTCTGATAGATTAAAACTGGGACGCCCTGCATATAGACACCACACTTACGGCCGTTTGTACCGATGTTTAACTAAGATAACAGAGTCATTCATAAAGTTAAGTTATATTTTTTTGCATCAAACTTATCTATTGGCCAACTGTATTTATTGGCCAATCTACCATTTCAGGTGTCTATTATGTAAAACGAAATCGTTTATAAAAATTAAACTCGTCTATTGCGAGACAATGATCGAATGGATATAAGTCAATTTAAAAAACCCATTGTTAATAAATTCTAGTGTTTAGATCGTTTTCAAATTCAGATATCCATAAAAAATTTAATTTACGTATAAATACGTTACAACAGTCATACACTTTGTATTGCACCCCCAATTATTTGTACATTTTATTTCTAATAACTCAAATACTTATTTTAAGCAAACAGATACTCGTAGCTTGAATAACAAGTCAGTGTGGTAACCCCCTCCCCTTGTCAAATCTAATGAAATTTTATTGAAAATATAGTGAAATGTATGCTTTGTTGTACAAAAATACAGGAAGAATTTTGTTTCATCGTCGTAAGTTCTTCATACAGAGTAAAACATTTTTCCACAATTTTACTTTCTTTTTAAAAATCTTGTAAAACATTGACGCTGTGCCCTCTGTGCTGAAGTCTGATCGTCGATCAATCGTCCACGATCTGCCAATATTCTGATGGTTGATCGACGATCAAACTTCAGCGCGAGCGCACAGCTTCAATGTTTTCCATTCGGCTTGTGTAGGGACGACAGTGACGACACGCTATCACAAAATCTCCCGAACCACAGTCGGACGTAATACACACTCCTCACCATACGCCATTTGTAACAGTTGATACGTTTCCGTGGCTGTTTTAACAGCTTTAGAACAGAACTTGATTGTTAGACGCTGTTCAATTCCATGACGACTATCAAAAACTCGCCTCACGCAAAACGTTGTAACTTCGTGGTAGAAATTATTTGGTCACTCGAAAGGCTTCCAACTACTTCTGGTGACCGCACATAGCACCACGCACTTCGCCACAATAGTCAGTCTTAAAACTTAATAGCCAGACCCTGTACTCAAAATCAATAAATTTCACTTTTATGCCGTGGTTTTACTCTTGTATTTTAAGTAAGGCCCATGATATGAACTGAAAGAAAAACAAAAAGAACTGAAGGACCTAAGATAAAGTAACGAAAATTACTAGAAGTTACTAGATTTTTGCGATGTTGCTGCTATGAAGACGTACTTCACTAAGCACAGTGCAATACGTTAAAAAATAAAGTATAACTTACAACTTTAATAATTGCTTTATTGAGTTTACAATTTCGGTGCAAATGGGCTTCTAAAGATAACTCATTGTTAAGTAATAATGCGTATTAAATTCGGTACAATTGACCATTATTGTAGTAAATGTCTCCTAGCAACGGCAATGTTTTTAATAATTTATAATTCAAATTACTGGTCCTGACAGTATTAATGGAAATGTAGTAGTAATGTAGTGAGAGAAACTAATACTTAGTTTTATTTCAGGTACAAAAATAACATCATCCAAAATGGGTGAGCGAAGAGGAACAAAAGGGCTGGAACTGTGGTGTCGCAAAATGACAGAAGGTTATCCGGGTGTCAAAATCGACAATATGACTACTTCTTGGAGGGACGGCCTTGCTTTCTGCGCCATAATACATCATTTCAGACCTGATTTAATGTAAGTAGGACAATCGTCTTTCATTATATTTGTTCTCTTTTCTATTTTATTGTTAATTTTTTATGTTTTTAGTAATCCAAACTGCAAAAATTATTATACAAAATGAACAATTTATACTAGCGTAATGCTTTATAGATTTAGATAAAATATTTAAAACTTAAGATCGGTACAATATTTGTTAAGAGTATTAAAACAAAATAATATGTGAATTTGATTAGGGAAAAATTAGTGAGCTGTAAAATTTGTTATAGATTATTGTTTTAATTGTATATAAAAAATGAAATTTAGCATCAAGAAAAACAAACACACAGTTATATATACTCGTATACATATCCCAAATAGAATATTAATTTTAGAAACGTATCATATTAATAAAAAATAAAAACGTATTAATAATTTTAAATCAGATGTTGAGTAACATTTATTATATCTTAAATTTAATATAATTAATTTTTTTAGTATTTTAAGCTATCATTGTCTATTTCATTTGTAACATTACCTATATACATCCACAGACAAAATAGCTATCGCCACAGACCGCTACTGGAATAGGCCAGCAGTTTTAAATTTCCGAATTGCCGGTAGAGTACACCACTAGCAGAATTTTAGGAAGAATCAAATACAGCGGCCCGCATACCTACGGGTATCCTAGCAATATATAAACAAGACTTTGGTAATGTTGCCAGGCGTACTTTTTTTTGTACACTTTTTTATCAATATTTCTTTTTTGCGTTACTGTATTTACTTAAATGTATGATGTAGGTATTGATAAAAATGTTTTTAAAGAATCAAAAAAAATATCTATGTAGTTTCATATAATATTTTGCAGCGGTGTTACAATTAAGTTATTTAATCATAATTTCGTTAATTAGCTACCTACTATTTTCATTTTTTTGGTATTGAAATACTGCAGAAAATATATTTCCAAATAAACAAAATTCGTAATTATATTTTGAACAGCTTGCAATATATATTTTTTTAATATTTGATGATGATAAATTTATTTAATATACAAGGTGGGTTATTAGTATGTCGCGGAATGTAGGTACAGTTTTTTTTGTATTTTGACATCCACTTATAGGTTTAATAATTAAAGATAGAAAGAAACTTTAAATACAAATGTACGACTTTTCCTTTATTTCTTTTGACATCAAAATTTGTAGGCATAAAATATATGTTTAAAATAAAAAAAATCATTAAAAAAATTAAAATTCATCCTTATGAAAATAACAAACAACGATTTTTATAACTATCCTTTACAACAACGTAAGGGGAATACCTAAAAATGAAATAACATTAAAATACCTACAATTTTTACAAATCAACATGCAAGTAATTGTGATAATACAGTTGAAAATATGTTTTAATTTACTATTAATTGCTTCCAAAACAAATTCAAAATTATCAAACATTTCGTCCTGTATTTTTCTTTCAGTGCTTGTAAATTTTCAGGTCTTTAATAATATATTTTGTTGAAGTGTCCTCACAAAAATATGTCTAAAGGACTGAGATCGGGGCTGTTTTTTGGCCACCTAAGGTTTCTAATAATATTTTTTAGTGTTCATTGACGGGATTCTTCCTCCAAAATAAATTTGCCGATATTCCTGAAGAACTTTTGCACATTATTGTTATTTGAATAATACAGTTAATTATGTTTTATTTTTCGTCATCATAATAACCCATTGTAATTTTTTTAATTTTTAAAATTAAAATGGGTTATTCTAATAACGATAAATCCCATGTATTTTTAAAAGAAGGTTCGTTTCTGTCGTTTTTGTCTGATTGTGTGCGAGAAAGATTTAGTTATAGTGTGCCATAGAGATAGAGTGATTCTGTCCTCATAGAGGGCTTCTATTTATCTCTCCCTCTCTGCTGTCTTCAGGAGTCTTTGGGCCTTCCCCAGCAATTTCAAGACACCTAGAGAGGGAGCGTGGGGTAGAGCGCGTGGCCTTTTTAGCCTTCGTTATCGATATTCTTAAAGGGTAGACATTGTCATTAAATATATAAGAGGATATTGGACTGATGTCCTCCGCGACTCATTTGGCATACTCGACTTCTTTTAAGAAAATTCTGTATCACGCTTTCGTGTATCATCTGCTGAATTTTTTTGATAACTTCGAATTTCTGCCTTTAATTCAAGAATGGTATACATTTGAGCAGAATAAACTTTGTACTTTACAAATCCCCACAGGAAAAAGTCGCATGGCGTAAGATCATAATATGATGTTTTAATTCTAACTTGATTTATTTTATTTAACATTTAAGGCAAATGTGATTTCCAAACAGAAGATAAGTTCCATGTCTCTTTAATTACATAATTGAAAGCATTAAATTTATTTAGCAGTTATTATTTGGCAACAAAGCCACTGCTGGAACTGCCGCCTATTACCAAGTAGAAGAGTTATCACGCTAAATTTTATAACTGGAAGCCGGCTAAGGAGACCCTACATCTATTTCGGGTTGCCAATTTCCAGCATTTAAGTAGCAGTCTGTGGCGATAAGCTATATTGTCTGTGATACGTCTATGTGTTCATTACTCTCTATAATTGTATATGTTTTGTGCATTTGCAATTAAAACAGAAATAATTGCTAAAAAGTTTTTCAGGGCAATCTAATTTCACTAATCAAATTCACATATTATTTCTTTTAATATTGTTAACGAACATTGCACCGATGTTAACAAGTCTATAATTCTCAATATATTTGATCTAATTCTATAAGCACTAATAGTTTTTTTCTAACAGTTTTTGTAGTAAACTAATGATGAAGCTAATAAAAAGTTGCATAACCAATTCAAATTAAATTTAAACAACACCAATGCTATTGTTTCTCAAATAAACACTTTCAGCAAATGTAAATATTGCCAAGGTTTTTCAATCATTATTACTAATTCGTTCTCCTTTTCGGAGTGCTTCTGTTAAAACACAGAGTTAAGTACAATTGAAATGAATTAGTAACGTCATGGTTATTTTGTTGTCCTCATCTATTTCCTTTATCAATCGATAGAAAAAGATCGCACAGTTTTTTATTAATAGCAGTTACTAATTAGTAGATGCAAAAAACAAATTAGACCAGAGAAATAGGAAATCCTGCCCTCAATTAGTTTCTCATGTTGTATTAAAGTTGCAAAATACGTTTTGTTGAATTTTCTGACGCTTGATATAATTGTTATAGAGTTTCTTATTTCAGTGCATTTTTTATATTCATATTTAAGAATAAAAAATTGCTATATTCCACGTGCTGTAATTTTAGGGTATTAGATATTATTAGTAGAGTTCGAGAAACACGGCTCTTAACCAGAGTCGTACTCGGTTCATTTTTCCAGTTTTTAATTCAGTTGTTTACTAGCAATGTTCCAGTTGTTTCATGCTTTTATTTTATATATTTGCATAAACTATTGTAACTTGTAGTCGCTGTATTTATTTAACTGCCTCCATACATAATCTACATTAACTAAAGGGTGCCCCAAAAAAAACGCAGGATTTCGTATGAGAAAAAAAATATATTAAAAAGCTGGCAAAGGTTTTATATAGTGTAGGCAAGTACCGATGGTCTATCAGAAGTTACCTGAGAGCGATAAAGTAAGCCATAGAAATCCATGTGATAGACAAGGATGGTTATAATGAAGGCGTCTAGTAATCAACGCCCATTTCGCTCTTCCACAAATAAGATCCACTTCTTATTATTATATTAGACGCCTTCATTATAGCCATCTAGCCACATGAATTTCTATGGCTTACTTTATCGCTCTCACGTAACTTCTGATAGACCATCGGTACTTTCCTACACTGTATATTCTTAAAGGGTAGGGGTCATTAAATATAGAAGAGGATATTGGACAGATGTCCTCCGCGACTCATTTGTAATACTCGACTTCTTTTAAGAAAATTCTGTATCACGCTTTCGTATATCTGCGGCTGAATTTTTTTGATAACTCTTTGAATTTCTGCCTTTAATTCACGAATGGTATTCATTTGAGCAGAATAAACTTTGTACATTACAAATCCCCACAGGAAAAAGTCGCATGGCGTAAGATCATAATATGATGTTGGTGTCCAAGTCGCTTCACTGTTATGTGAGATGGGTCGTCCATTAAATTTCTGCCGTAACAAGTGGATGGTTTCACGTGCCGTATGGCAGGTGGCACCATCCTGTTGAACCACATGTCATGCAAATCCATGCCATCGAAATGAGGCCACAAAAAGTGCAATAGCATCTCTCAATATCGTTATCTGTTGATAGTCACTGCATTTTCAGTCTCGTTTTAAAAAAGGAACGGGCCAATCACCCCACCAGCATAAAATCTACACCACACTGATAGTCTTTGGCTATAACGTGATCGTTCTTGAACGACCCGAGGATTGTCTTCTGTACCAAATTCGACAGTTTTGCTTGTTCACATAACCATTAAACCATTGAAAATGCGCCTCGTGGCTAGAGATGATTTTCTTAGCAAAATCACCGACCACTTGTTGATTCTCCAACAGCCAATCAACTAATGTCCGGCGCATCAAATGGTCGTCTGGTTTCAATTCCTGGGTTAGCCGAATCTTGAATGGATGCAGATGCAGATTTTTATTAAAATCCGTTGCACTGTGCTCTTTGAAATGTTTAATTGCAGTGACCGACGGCGCACTGAGATTATGGGAATTTCCGTCACACTATCACTCAACATAGCAACATTTTCAGCTGAACGGCCAGTACGAGGCCTGTTTTTTATTGTCTGCAACCGAACCTGTTTGTTCAAATTAGGCAACTAATCTTTTGACAACTATTTCATTCGGTGCGTTCCTTCTACCGAAAATTCCACATAATTTGCGCACAGTCTCAGTTACACACTCTCTGTACTTGTAATGAATTTTCACAATTTCATTTCATTCGCTCGTCCATCGTATAGCGTCCATTTTGTCTGACCGCAACGCTTTTACTATAACGTGACCCTTTACAATGGTGCCAATTCTTCGGGACGAAAATGGCGCCCAATTAAAATCCTTCATTAT